GCAATATTTTGCCCGACCCGGAAATCGAACCCGAGACCCTTTGCCTGGCAGTCGCACTTACGACCACACGGCCAACGAGGCAGTTTAATATAAGATAGTAATGTACTATCTATATTATTTGTTTCTTTCCTAGTTTGTAAACTAATATATTGGATTAAAAATCAGCTTCTTTCAACTTTAAGGATATATATTTTAAAGTTTTAAATGCGATGCGAGATGTGCATACAAATTTACGTCTCGTGTTTCATGTGCGTATTTAGATGAACATTTTTTTTTTAACTTAACAATGACATTTTTATTTTTTACTTTATACATCTAAAGTAAAACTCCTTTTGACAAGTTGTTTTGCCGCGGGATCTTTATTTTTCTTTTTACTTTATACTTCGATAGTATTCCTAATGGCAAGTTATTTTGAAAACGAAATAGATTTCACAGTGTATATTATTATACCTATGGGTTTGAGTGTACGAGGGGGAGTCATAACTTTATCGCAGGATGTTAGGCAATCGTAAGTAAGCAATAAGACTTGTTATAAAAATCAAATAGTAGATTACAAGTTTAATCGAAAGGTCGGTCGGTGACAAATAGCAGCTGTAATATTTTGTTGTTTATGATTGCAATAGTATTTTTTATTCTTTTACCAGCTTTTGTTACATCTTACATACCTATACATTGTTTTTTTTATAGCATAAACCGGTAAACAAGCAGACGTATCGGCGCAGCCCATGGACACCCAAAACACCAAGGCGTTACAAGTGCGTTACTGGCTTTTTGGGAATTGGGAATTCGAGGATAGTGGAGGATTCGGGGATTCGGGAGACTAGGGAGGGGGGTAATTGGGCCTCCGGTAACCTCACTCATACGACGAAACACAAAGCAAGCGTTGTTTCACGTCGGTTTTCTGTGAGTCGTCCGGTCGAGTCGGCCCATTCGTGCCGGAGCATGGCTCTCTCACACTTATAATTGTTGAGTGTGAAGTGCAATCTTGCAACTCAATCTTGAAGATCTTCAACTAATTGAGCTGATTTTGTACACACGTAAGTGTGCAAGACCATAAATGCCAAGTTTTAAATTTATCTATCTATTATAATATAGTTAAACTTAAACTACATACTTCATTAGTAACAAAATCTACGAATCATCTGATGTTAACCGATTAGCCTATGTAGACCTGCAATATCTAAGTCTAAGCTTCATGTGTGAACTGACGATCTTGTAGGAAATTAATTGCGAAGGTGAAAGATATTATTATGTTCTATTAAGTATAAATAATGTAGGTTAATAAAGTTTTGTAAAGTTTAATAAAGTTCCACAAAAAAAAGAAATAAGTACGTATTGTACATACGTAGTAGTAGTACTTCAATAGAGGCCATTTAAATTTTTTACATCATAGTACGGTGGCGTATATACTGCATAACGTAGTAGGTAAGTAGGTACATAATATGATATATCGTCATTGAAATTCTCTTTTTTATACGGTTCTAATAAACTAAACACAAGAATTTAGGTCTGCTTTTGTTTGCAAATTAGCTGCGAATGAAGAACATGTCATTGTTTTAAATTAAATAAGGTTTGGCTTTAGTAGCTAATTTGCAGCTAGCTTTAAGTGAATGGTTTAAAAATTTGATGACATAAGTGACTACTGAACAGCTCAGAGTTCCAAGCCCACGCGCATACCAAGAATCATTTGAATAGTTTTAAATTGTTAAACGTGTGTGCTATATTAGTAAATAGAAACACGCATTGTGTATGTGTATACTTAGTTAGATACAACTTTTTAAACTATAATAAATCTGTAATTTTATACCATGCATTTTATTATAAAAATAATTTTATATTATATGTATACTGTATAGTGTAATAATTTTATGTTATACTAGCGACCTACCCCGGCTTTGCACGGGTGCAATATGCATGTATTATACAAATAAACCTTCCTTAAGAATCACACTATCTATTAAAGAAAACCGCATCAAAATCCGTGGCGTAGTTTTAAAGATCTAAGCATACATAGGGACAGACAGACGGCGGATAGCGACTTTGTTTTAAACTATGTAGTGATGTATAGAACTCGACATTTAAAAGGCTAAAACGAAAAGCCCCTGGAGACTTGTAAGGGATGAATAGTAAAGGGCCCACATCGCTGAACTGGTGACCCTACAAGACAAATTAAACCTTGACCATGTGCTGAATGTTTTTTAGAAACAGATTGCAGGATAATAAACCAAAAATAAATATGTATAGTGTTAGTAAAACTTGTTATTTACTTTATTCTTAAGTTAGACATCTGTTGAAATAAGTAACTTGTTAAGTACATAGTTCATTTCAACTGTCGATGAGGGTCGACTGCTAAGTATTTATTCAACTCTTTGAAATTATTCTAGATTTTTTATTATACAATCTTGAAATACATTTTTTTTGAGTTACAAGTATATTAAATGCTTATCCCAGATATTTGTTAGATGTTTTGTAGCTAGAGTTTATAGATAGTAGAGGTAACTTGAATGTCCTCGCATAAGCGGGGCAGTACTATCCTCTTACAGAATAATAGTAGAATATAGTGAAATATTGACGTAATGGCGAACCTATTTAACCCGTCGAGCGTCCGCGTTCCTTATGATCCAACGGATGCACAGTTGACATTTGGAGAAAGAAAGAAAGAAAGAAAGAAAATGCATTTATTTGGCCATTGGCACACGAAAACAAGGATCATTACAATAGAAATAAAAAATACAGTCAAAATATAAATAATAGATTTTATAAAAGAGAAAGCAGCGTGGAGATTTTTTTCTTATGATCCACCGGGTGCTCATAAGTACGCTCGAGGGGTTAAGATACCTTTATCATTTTCGAGGTGGAAGGCTCCCACATGACGCATATAGATAATTTTCTTCGTGGTCGCAAACACACTCGTTATATCTCTGGTTATTGCAGCGGTACTTAGGCTGTGGTGACCATACATTACAACCAGACGCACGTCAGCTGCATTGCAACTGATAAAACAACACGTGTTATGCGACACGTGTGATGTCTGATACCTTTGTACACTAATTATAACTACAAACTAAGAGATAATCATAATGTTGTGCTATATAGCAAAATTGTAGCACCAAACATAACATAACATCACGCCTTTTATCCCCGAAGGGGTAGGCAGAGGTGCACATTATACCACTGTACAATGTAATACCCACTTTTCACTATTTATGTTATGAGTCCCATGTAATAGGGGGTGAGCCTTTTGCCATATACCGGGCACGTTTCCAGACTCCGTGCTACTACTGAAATTTTTAAAAACCCAGTAATACTTTGCCCGACCCGGGAATCGAACCCGAGACCTCTTGACCAGCAGTCGCACTTGCGCTCACTCGGCCAACGAGGCAGTCTTGTAGCACCAGAATTAGAATATTCATATAAAGAACAGATGCTTCTAAAATTTCACTTATGTAAACAAAACAGAAGTAGGTCTAAGCTAAGCTGCATTTTCTTAATCATAATCATATCGCTGTTGATAACTGTAAGCAAAAGTAAATAAAAGTTTATAATGTCAAATTAATAACGGCATTTGACAGCTACTAAAACACAGTACTTTTTTAATGTGTACTGGCTGAAATGTAAGTGGCGAGGTCAACCTACGAGGAAGGCACAGCCGCATAAAAACCTGTTCGATGGTGCGCGCTCACACAGCGGTTTTCTGGTTTTACCAATTTGATTAACATAATTATTGTGACTTTTATTATATTGTATAAGGCCTTAGCATCACTACAAGTGAAGCTACATAATTACATAGGTGTCAACTATGACCGGAAGTGTCAGTCAAACGGTCAAAGTATTCCTGTGAATGAATATCGTGTGAATGACCCTTTAAATATTTATTTTTGTCTTGTGTGTATTTTTGTATTTCTTAACTCTGTGGTTTATTTTAGACAGCAATAATCAATGAATGATTGAGAAAAACCACATCCGTTTTCTTGTACATAGCTAAGTATCAACTATAATCATGTAGAACTTTAGACGTTAATATTTTAGTATTCTCAATACCAATGGATTAAATAACTTCACATGTATTTCCTCACGATGTCCAAAAGCAATATTGCTTTTGGTAAAAATTCATGTGTTTGTTATTTTGCTAGTATAACCCAAAGCCCATCGACGTCACGTCGTCGATGCCAAAGTCATTAGATACCATTTATACCTAAAGAAAAATTAGGTCAACGTCTCCTTATTCCTTATAGGTTCTATGTAATGTTATACATATTTGCTTAGCCCGCAATCATGGTGCTCACGTTATCGAAGATAGATATAATTATCTAATGATATTTCTTAAGTAATTAGTAGTACAGACTGTCAGATTACATACACATAATAATAAAATTATTTTACGGAGGCACTGGGCTAACGTAACTATCTAGTGATAAGCAAGATAAGGAAATCCCAATGTATTCCAATCTACACACGAACGTATTGGAATACTAATCGACTTCAAGATGCTACGCTTAATGATTCTCTAATGATCATAAGATAAGAACCGTGGAGTAAACTCCACAAACATGATACATTCCGTGTTTAATACTACAACAACAAAAAAACAAGAACATTCCTCTGCCGGAACATGAAAATCCACTAAAGTCGTTTAAATGTCATGTTTTGGAGAGGAAAACAAGTTCGGAAACTGTCCCGGCATGTGTGTGTGATTCATGCTGTACGCAGGCACTATCCGCCTCTCTGGTCAAGAACAGAAACAATACCACCAGTGTCATACAAGGTGAATTTGTAATTTTCATGGCAATCCGCGAATTCACGGTCAATAAACGCTCTCAACGTTACTTCTAATTCCGTAGAAGATCTGCAACACATAGTATTAAGCGGTTACCAACTCTACGTGCAGGTAACATGGTTGATAATGGCGTGACGCAAGCCATTTTCGATAGTGGTACAGATGCAGCGTGCATTGACAGTCCTGCGGGTCATCGTGCACTAACTGTTACCCGAACACTCACCGGCTTATCATGATGTAATAGGGGGCCTTCAGTCATTTTCTAAAATGTGATAAAACCGCCGTAGTCCGTGCGGCGGCGGCTGACATCTGCAACAAGAGGCCATCGAGGTCATATGATTGGAACACACTTAGACAGACGGTACACACATTACTGAAACACTGGGGCTCACTTGTGCTGTGTTGTATGTAAACAAAGATGCATGAAGGCTGATCTGTGTTCCCGGGCGGGAAGTCAAACTCGCAGCATGTCTGACAAGAAGGCACCGGTAAGGTTTGTTTATCACTGAGTCAGAGAGCGCGCGCGGCGCGCGGGGCGAGGTGCGCCGTGCGCGGGGTCGCGCGGCCGGAGTGCGGTGACGCCGATGTCGTGACGTGAGCACGCGCGCCTGCGCACACCACTTGGCGCGCTCCAAAACCACTCCATATTTTCTTGACGTGTAACGTATAACGTTCCGTTTTACTACTTTACATCGAGTATTATATACTGGTTTATTTTTACACAGTTAACACATAAAAAAATCAAGGGTATATGCACTGTAAAGTTGTAGTCGTATTGAAGTTACAGCATTTTAATAGATAATACATTTATCTATCTACTGAATCTATATTTAAAAAAAATATTGTATGAATCTCAGATTACATGAATGCTAAAGCATAATTATCTAGTTCCTGCCTAACTAAAAGCTTATTTATATTAAGATAAAAATGATTGAAAAAAAAACCAAGGAAAACTACACTGAAAAACAATAGATACCTCAACACCTACTGTATGATAACAATGACGCTGACTGTGGCACATCCAACCACTAGCCAGATATATCACGCTATTTGCATGCCTGTAGATTTCCACCAGCCTCTGATTCGTGGGTGATTGTGAGAATAAGCTATTCTGAAAAAAGACACCTGTGATCCTCTGTCTTCAGGATAACTAACTTTTTTTACCTGAACAGCGTGTCATGGCGACTTGGAATGCACAATGTAGAATAAATAAGAAATCATCGTTATTAAACTTGTACGACTTTTCAAACATGTTTAGAGGTTCAATGCCGCGAACATAACATAACACATAACATCTTTTATTCCCGAAGGGGTAGGCAGAGGTGCACATTATGCCACTATACAATGTAACACCCACTTTTCACTGCTTATGTTACGCGTCCCATGTAATACGGGGTGAGCCTATTGCCATATACCGGGCACAATTCTAGACTCCGTGCAACTACTGAGAATTAAAAAAAACCCAGTAATACTTTGCCCAACCCGGGAATCGAACCCGATACCCTTTGCCAGGCAGTCACACTTGCGATCACTCGGCCAACAAGGCAGTCATATGTAGCGGACATTGTGTACATATAATTATTTCTATGGCCGCAGTATTAGTAAAAGTTTTTGCGTCATTTTTGTTACTCATGCGTGTATTTGTTTGACTCATTTTTTTTATCTTTTCTTGATACTTACCTATACATTATGTAGAAATTTTCAAACAGGACCAGACAGGTAACATGTAGCGACGCCTGTTGCTTTTCAAACGCAATTTAATTTCAGATTGACTATTGCTATAGACTGGAAATACATACATAGAAAGGAAAGTTCCAGATCCTTCTTTTACTGAAATACTTTATTTTTCAGACTGATACATTCAATACTTTAATATAATTTGTTAATGTTGTATGATAATTTATTTTAATATATATACGTGTACTGACGTGGGACCTATCGAGCTTGACCCACGTCAAAGCTATCAAATAAATTAAAATTTGCCAAATATTACATAGTTCACATCAATTACATATTTAGGAATAATCCCGTTTTCTAAGAAATGCTATCTAAGATAAGTGTTTAACGTATTGTGGACATTATCATTTATTTAGTTTTTATCATTCCATCAGGATATTATCTATTTATATTAGTGACGAAATTATCAGTACTTTGCACTACAATCCAAACAAAATTAATTTATTTAGACGTTACCTACCAACAGCGTCAATTAATCCCTTAAGATAACATTTAGAGTTACTTACACGAAAATTTTGGTTTGTTTCATTAAATTATAAAGGACTAGCGACCCGCTCCGGCTTCGCAAGGGTGTAATAAGCATGTGTTATACATATAAACCTTTCTGAAGAATCACTCTGTGATTGTAATGTGTGAAGAAGTGTGGGAGACCCATGCTTCGGCACGAATGGGCCGGCTCGACCGGAGTGATACCACGGCCTCACATAAAACAGACGTGAACACAACGTTGTGTTTCGTCGTGTGAGTGAGGTTACCGGAGGCCCAAATACCCTCCCCATCCCCAATCTCCCCAATCCCTGATTCCCCAACGATCCTCAAACTGCTAATCCCCAAAAGCCCGGTAACGCACTTGTAACGCCTCTAGTGTTCCAGGTGTCCATGGGCGACGCCGATTGCTTACAATCAGGTGATCCGTCTGCTCGTTTACCGGCTTATGCCAAAAAAACTCTATGTATTAAAAAAACCGCATCAAAATCCGGTGCCTACTTTTAAAGATCTACTTAGACTTTATTTTTTACTATGTAGTGATGATACATATTTGCTTCTATTTTTGTTGGCCTGTAATTTCTAATGACAGAAATTTCGAGATCAGTCTCGGTTTCTGACAGACACTTTATAGAACTAATGTCTAAAATTTATCTTGATTCAACGAATATTGAAACTATTCTATTTATTTCCGCGGACGGTTTAACGGGTTGCCGGGGCTTCGGTTCGAAGTGCAGGAGTAGGAACAGGGTGGTTTTTAGTCAGTAAGAGTCTGACACTCCCTCTCGCCTAGCCCAAGTTGGGAAAAGCCATTGGATGATTTCGTCGACGACCGTTAACTGTACTAAACGTATTTTAAATTGATCGTATTGGCATGGATCATCAAAAGAAGTGTGCATTTATGTTATTGCTTGGGAGATACAGGCAAAAGAAACAAAGAAGGTTTTTGGAAGACAAGATTTTGATGCGCGATGCGAATCAATCCGCAAGTTTTTGCGATGCGTATAGGGAGCACCGCAGTTTTGTGTACGAGCTCTAAAAGTAGCCACACAATAACTTATTTATGTACCTAACCGCACCATTTTTTAGCGTTGATGATATGTAAAGTCATGTAGAATTCGTATACTAACTTTGAAACCAACTACGTTAGGAAAATGAAACGTGAACTATGGACATAAGGTGGTTTTTCCAAAACTATTAGGATGCCCACAAAGGAAGGACCACATCTGGCCAATGTACCGCTCTCGAGCCGTTTACGGGCCGCTTGGTGCTTAACTCATACTAGGCTCGTATAAACGAGGCCATACACGCTAGGTTTTGCATGATGGTTTTACCCGTGCATGCATAACCAAAAGGCAAGCCCTAGCGTGTATGTGATTAAACTGTCGAGTTATCGATGCATCGGTGCTCGGTTATGCTTGTCGGTTTTGCATGCAAAGTTATAACCATACATAACCTAGCATGTATGGCCTCCTTAAATGACCATTTAGAATGCATGCGCGCAGCTCGGGGGCGACCTGCGCATTCACCAGGTGTGGACGCACCCTTACGGGAACAAAATTGGATGGCAAAATATTCACATGGTATAGTAGTTAGAATACACTTGTCACCGGCCCCTATTCTTTCATCAGGTATTATAAGAGTCAGCTAAAGGACTATGTATCTAACAGAGACCGGCAGTAGCATTCTCTGATAAACCAGAGGCCTTAGTATAAGTTTATTTTACGTTTAAAGTAATCGTAACGAGGACGCGTTAGACACTTTGATTGGTTGGTTTATTGGCGCTGGCCAATCAGAGTGCTGAACGCGTACTCGTCAGGTTTACGTGCTAAGGCCTCTGATTCTTTAAAACGCGATCTCCAACTCGTAGGAGTAGGAGCTATGGTAGATTTTAGTCAGTAAGAGTTTGACTCTCTCTCTCCATCTCTCTCCCTCTCGCCTCACCCAAGTCAGTTCATTGGATGATCCCCCTCTACATAAAAAAGAGAGTAAGAGAATCGAAAGATTCCATGTTTATGTACCTACCTACATGAAATTATAACTCTTGCTTGCGAATAGTCGTCTAATTCTTATTCTAATCGTGTTTATAGAGCCTTACATATTTCAGTGTGCATTACGGGTTTTTTGATGAGACTATGACGTCAATTACAATAGATACCTTATGAATTATCGTCAAATTAGCTGTCATCACGGTCATAAATAGCCACATGGTGGCAATCAGATCAGATTTTTTCGTAATAAGTAATCGATATCGCGATCACAACTACGTTAATTGCAGTCATTCGTTGTGATACTGATCTACCGTTACTTAATCAAAGATCTTTTATCTACATACATTAGCGTGACTGAAAAACGGAAACGATGGAACTTACAATATAATTACTTCATTTTTAATGTATTTTATGAAGATTAAAATTAAATAAATAAATAAATAAATTAATTAATTAAATTTTTCAAGCTGAGCTCTAGCCTTATGCCCTGCGACGCACCATAGGCTTTTTTTGTGTTTCTAAATTCTTGTTGTGTATCGTAGCAAAATAAATGGTTTTTCTTTCTTTCTTTTTTTACCTCAAAAGAGAGGGCGTTGAAGTCAGTATTTTTAAACGTAATTTATAAAAAAAAATTGGTTGCCTGTAAAGTCGGTATACGGGCGAAAGTTTTACGTGACAACGACTTTGAGTGGTAAAATATTATGTCTGTCTCTCTCGCTCTTAGGCGGGCTAACCATGCCCGAGTGGAAGGGACGCGTGCCTCTCACTCGCTCTCATTGTGAGCGCATAACGTGAGCGGAGCGTAACGCAGTTTCTTGAAGTGTCACCCGGCAAACCAATTTATAAGACGTTGTCACGTCAAAAATATTAAGTAGCCAATAGTTAGACAAAAATGTTTAGAAAACCAGAGTAGGTTCATCGTTCATCTTGTCAGATAGAAAATTAGCTTAGAAGCTTAGCTTTTGGCTGTATTGAAGAAGGGTCTTAAAAACATATGTACCTAACAGTTATCACGTCAAAAACCTGAATTTAATGAAACAGTTTT